TCGTAATGATGAACATATTTCATTTCCGCCGATTTCAATAGGACTGGGTGACAATCGTAGCCGCAGAAAAAAATCGGGATTGAAATTGTGGCCCCGGATATAGCCGGAGGATCATGTCTGGAAATCTCGCATTCCGACCCGAAAATCAGTTCGAGTCGGTCGATTTTGCTCGAAAATGTTAATCTTCAGGTACCGTTATTTTATTACACTTTTGTGTTTCCTTTAAGTGGAGCGAAGTTCTCCTACAAAACCTTGTGCGTTTACTATGCAACATGTTGTTGTTGTAGTTTTACGTTTTCATTTTGCGATTTTTACTTTAAGAGATTTTCGTCTGCGCACAAGGTTTTGGCCGAAACATGAAAATTATCTCTTCTGATTTTGCGCCTGGGCTGCAGCTATGCCCCTTGCCAGACCTCCTAGCTAGCACGCAAGACCTGGCGATCCTCGATATATGCAATGACAGGATTCCTAACATTTTCAGGGCCTGGCCTGCCCAGAAACCTTCAAGTTGAAGCCTCGTACTCCCTAGAACTTCAGAAATCGTTCGAAGCCCAGAAATCTGAATTTCCTCAACCGTACATGCTGAGGGTGGACTATGTTCGTGACGGTGCCTTGCGCTCAGCTAACAGCACAGCCGATAATTCTTTTGCATTTTTGTCGAAAGAGCTTATGATCCATTTGCACGTGAGTTTTGGGTCTGTGGCCCTTGCATAAGGATTTCTGGAAATTCTTGCAAAAATGCTCGCAGGCTTGCGTTGAGATCGTCATCCGACAGTGACACCGGCCCGGAGCTTAAGCACATGTGCAGTCGCATACGTGCCTTGCAAGACGGCTGGTAACTTACAGCTTGTAGTCTCCGTCTGCATTGCATGCTATTCCTGGCTCCTCGATTGATTGTCGTTTGCAATCGCAGACGTACAGTTCAAGTCTGAAGCATAGACAAGTTGGATCATGGCCGAGCATACGGAGTCTGTCATCGTCATCTCATCCGAGGAGGACGAGCCAGCGCCCAGAACAGGCAGCGCCGCAGACAGCCCTGCTGCTTCGGTGGGCATACGCGGACTGTGGGGACAACACCGAGCTTGCGGAGAGTGCAGTGGATCTAACCAGCTACCGTGCTGCTTTGGCCCAAATGGCCACGCAGCAATGGCCGGCCTAAACGGACGCTGTGACCTGTGCAGCGG